TCTGTCCAACTACAAGATTTTTAAATGTGCACACAAGTTTTTTGCACGACTCACCTGACCAATGTCTGGTCAAAAGTCATCGTCATAGTTTATGTATTGTTGTGATAAAACTACGAGGGAAAGAGTCATTGACCTTCGACTTGACACAAATATCATGTGATCCCAATTCAGCAATTGTGTTTCAAAAATCAAGGTCATAACTGAACTGGTGTATATCTGTTGATAATAGTTCTATGACAAAATTTCCCACACATTCATGTGATCCACAAATAAAATTTAGATTCAAAGGTCAAAGTTCACAGTATGAGTGCCTGTACGTATTTTATTTCAGTAATTTCGGATATGTTAACTATATGACCATAGTACTTTTTTTTTTATTTACCTACATATGTATTATAGGACTATTGAAGAAATCTAGCCCAGGTTATCGCGTGTTTGTTTGCTTTACCTGTTCAATAATTTTGGCTAAATGTATTTTTACGATAAATTCACTCATAGGAAAAAAGCTTTGTAATGGGAAATTATTACCCCGTATTTTAGTCCTTTCCAAATCTGAGCCAATTGTGTTAAAAGATAGAGTTGTTTCGTGTAATCAGTTTGACGGCTAGGGTTCACCATGTCAAGAGGTCAAGTCAATACAACACTCGGGAATATGTGGCTATTTATAAAAGTGGTGACAGTCAGTCCGATAACTGGTAACTATTTATCTCAGTTATACAGATAGTAACCACCTGACCTACCCTACGTAGGATTGCTATAGTACCAAATCTTATGTGTGGATAATTGTAATTATTTATTTTTTACATTAGTATGTAATATTAGTATCAATAACGAACTTACTCAAGTAGTCCAGTATTAAATCTGACTCAGGAGAGCTTATGAACCAACTAGTACCACTACCTACCTGACTATCAGTATTAGGGACTTTTTGATTTTTTGTGTAGAGGGCTAGCTCCCATTCTGTGTGGTTTGTGAAAAACTCAACATTAATCATAAAGTCTATCTTCAACTTCATTGCACCGTTGCACACTACTGGCACCCTGGGAATATTCTTGCCAACTTAATCACCTTGCGTATCACTAGGAGGCGATTGGTGGACGTTCCAAACGTAAAAACCCAACAAAATTGTGAACTGAATATTAACGACGATTTATGTAACTAAATACTGGATGAACTAAATGTCGTTATATGTTATCGCCAATAACATGCATATACATGCACTGGGAATGAGAGACGCCGATTTTATGACCTTTGTCTGATGGACTTCCATTGTAATTATTAACTACGAACTTACACATACGACTGTCGGTAAATATGACTTATTACATATGGTCATTACATGAGGAAAGTATTCAGGTCAATGACAAATGACATAATAAACTTGAGATGCGTGGTGCTGTAAAAAGGTGGGACAAAACATAGTTAAAAATCATTGACATTTTCCCCATTTTTATTTGGATGAATTGATAGTTGAAAATGTATCAACCGATAAATAAATTAACATGCACATTAAAATTATTAATGTTATATCTATGTACCAAATATAAGTAAAATTGGTCAAGTATACCTTCAAACAGCTACAAACAACTGACTATTCTGTCTAATGTACGGATAATGTAAATGCTATTGTGGCGTCGTGAAATGACGTGAGAGTAGAATTAATGTGATAAAAGTTTGCAAAAAGTACTTACCCATAAATCTGCATTGAGGTGTGCATAATATAACAAGCTGTTATGCTGATGGTCAGAGCAATGAAACCAAGGAGCAAAGTTTTTTGCGAAATCGGCATTATTGGTTTGCCACAGAAAAATCGTGACGATTTGGCAACTTTAGTTGTTGAGCCTCAAATGTAAGTCTTTTTGTTAAAAGACTCGATAGACCGTGGGTAATTATTGTAACTGATTTTCAAACGTGTGTGTTACAGAGGCAGCTCATAGATAAAAGATGTTGAGGAATTAGTACACAAAGCAGGTAGTGAGTTTGGTGTGTATGTGTGTCTGTCTGTGTGTGTTGTGTGCCTGTGTAGCAAAATCACCAAAAAACATCTGAGAGATTTTGGTCAAATTTAATACACAGATACGTTGAGGCAATGTGGAGACATGATTGGTTCGGTTCATGTTCGAATTTGTCTATATTTAGTATCTAATTTTCATAATAATTTTCGTATTCCAGTCTGTGCAAGTTTAAACACAGTTTGTCTGAGCATGTATAAGGAATGATGATTATCAAATATGTAAACAAAATACTTTCAAAAGTAATTGTGGCACAGGCAAGTCCTGAAATAATAAATGGTCGGCCGTTTTGAATCAAATGGTGAAATAAGTAATATCATTAATAATTAACAATAGGAGATGATTAGCTGCACGTTTAATTCGCTACAATGTTACGATCACTGTACGGTGAGCGCCCAAATTAGATATTAACCATGAACGAATTCAGAGGACCATCGGTAAACATTTTAGAAATATTAACCCATGGTTGATATTCAGACTGCAGCAGAGTTCAATATTTGTATTTATTATACTAAAAATACAGACACACACTGAAAAGCTATACACAATATAACTTCAATGAAAATATACATGTACGTGACCATACATTTTATTGGCGCACTTAAAATATTCTATTTCAGCGAAACAAAGTTGTAATTGTACAATGTCAACTATATATACATTTCAAACAAAAAGGATAATATTGAATGCACCTTTCAACCTTTGCATTTCAGAAACAAATACCAGACATGTTACCCTGAAAATGTTTTCAACTTCAATATCAAACAATATTTTACACCAGATAATATACGCCCGTTACAAGTACAAATAATGATATTTCAGATAACACTCTTAATTAATGTTAACAACGCATTGTAAAAAACTACAATTCATGGGTCCATATGAATTTAGTGCAATATTGAAAGTGTTTTCTGTCACTGGAAATTGCTGAAGTGGGTCGGTGGTGTCAGGACCAGGATTCTTAATAATAATATGAATGAATTCTGTATGTCTTTCGAACGCAAGTTACAACATTTTGCTGAAGTTTGTAATGCGATCTGGTGATTTCGATTTCAAAATATATGTCGTGGATTCTGGGCTGGGTAACACAACTTGAGGGAAAGTAGGCAACATTGATACATATATAGAGCTAATTTTTTTTTACCAGACTATACGACAAAAGATGTTCAATATATTATTAATTCATTAAATCGAAAAGGGCAATGGTCAACAGTGTACAACTGAGGACATGAACTCAAACAAATTATAAATACAGAGCATACGTAAAAAACAGTTATTAAATATTACAATGGCAAAAAAAATACTTATATTTTACCATATTTAATTAAAAGTAATCAACGAGGTCAATTCAATTGATCAATACAATAATATTGGAGCAACGTTTCAATGCAAAATATGTCAATTTGGAGTTATCTGGTTATCTTATTGTAGCTGGGGAGTAATTTATTAAGAGTGTGATTTAAAAACACGTAATATGGTGAGCAACGGGTTCTCAAAACAGCATAAAATGGCCATACCATAAAAGAGTTATATTTGTCTTCCACCTTGTTATAGCTACAAACAGTGTATAGGAAACAGTTCGCAAACACTCATGCCAAGCATGTGCGACATTTGTATTGATAAAGAATTGAGTTGCCCACAATCTAATGCGGTCTTCTAATGGAAATCACGGGTTCCAGTTTTGATCCTAGCGCGACGTGCACTAATTACCGCCTATGACTTCTCCGATACCTTGCAATCTGCGAGGAAATTACCTAGTTAAAGCTAGGTGACGTCTCAGTTTGTGCTCGTTGGTCTGTGCAACAGTCAAAGTCGCCATCTTTGTTTATATGAGACCCATGCGTGGCGCGACAACTACCGCCCTTAAAAATATAATACGTTGTTTGATTGCGTTTTCCACCAGTCGCTGTGGGCCCGTGAATCTCTTCTACCTGCGCTAATTGCATCTGTTACATCTGTTATTGCATCTGGTTTTTTTTACTTTTCTGTCATATGGGAAGGAATAAATTGTCAGAAACTCCATAGACGTATTTGCGTTTAAACTTATTTCAGCTAGAATAGTGATATTCAATGTACCAGGATGAAAATACCCGCAGTTTAAATAATATTTGAATGTCAATACACTTTACTGGTGTGTTTCATTTTTCCGTTTTATTAAGGTTCATAAATTAGTCGGCACATATACTTTAAAGTTAAAAACACATGAAGACAATTTACGCATTAATTTACCGATACCCGCACATATGAGGACTAACATTGCACAAAACTTCATGTGGAACGGTTCACAAATGTATTTGGATAAAGTAACAGCAAGTGTAAGTGTTCTGGGACAAGAGTACATCTAATGGCCAAAATGATCACCATTATTTTGGATCAATTTGTGGAACGAAGTAATGTACATCATTAAACTACAATAAGTGACGTATTTATCAAGTTTAAATAAAATAAACCCGCACAGGCACGCTTGGGAAATGGTTAATGACATTTGGAATTTATGTTTCTGGGGACAAAATGTCCGTAGTCGGGCAGAGGTCAACGAACGAAAAATAAATCGATGTGCAAGTGGTTTTGTCTTTGTACTAATTTTGAATTCTAGGCACGCGAAGTAGTTTACTTTGCTGATGTTTGTAATTTGGTATGGTGATTTCGATTTCAATATATATGTCGTTTATTCTGGGCTGGGAAATTTGTAAAAAAAAAAAACTAGGGGAATGTAGACAAGACTGATTTTCTACCACACTATATGACAAAATTGATGATCTTAATTTTACGGGTGATTTTTTTCAATGTATGATTAATTTATTAAAATACAATAAGTCACTCGTAATGCCCCGAGTTGTTAACTGAATGTCATGAGTTTGTTAACAGCTGATGAATAAATGTCATGAGTTCACGACTAAATCCAGTAAAATTCCATGAGTTGGCTGACAGAATAGCCAGTACCGTGGGTTAGTTGACTGAATGACGCGACTTAATTTACTGAGACCTTTACTTTTGTAATTGTGAAAGTGATTGGTCCATTGCTAAGTCTGAACTTGTAGCTTTTTGCCTGTTAGCAAGAATGTCAAATCCTTCCTTACTAAGTGCGTTACAATACGCAGGTGCATTATTTTTCAGTATCGTGGAATTCATCCGACCTCTACTTTGGATTTTAAATCTCTCTTCGTCTACACACTCAGATCGCAACTTCTGTAACATACCTCGAAACGTAGCCAAGTCATTATGGAAGGTTTCACCGTATGCCGCAACTTTATGCCAGAATGTTTTATTGAAGTGTTGGTATAGTTTATAATCGGCCTTATTTATTTCCAATATTCGCTGACGTTTCCAGTCATCGAACTCAAAACGAAGTTTGTTGTTTCTTTTGTTTTGACGAAAATACATAATATCTTCAAAGTCCCAGCATAAAAGTTTCTTCAACAAAACAAGTGATTCGTCAAAATATTCCGCAATCAACACAAAATCAAACTCTTCTGAAGCTTGCTGAATTACGTTATCCACGAGTGTTTCATTGTTATGATTTTTCAGGTCAAGTCCAACATCAAATATTTGTCTATTACTGAGTAATGTCTTGCGGTAAGAATCTTTAATGCGTTTAGAATACATCGTTGTGTTTGACAAAAACATGTGAAATGGATCTTGACTTGTGTTCTGCTCAATATTGAGATAACTAGCAATTTTCATGAACCCGAAAATTGACTCGTAATTAGATACGGGATGACGTAGTATTGTTATATACGTGGCATTTCGAATTACTTTGTCAATAGCTAGTTTATTAAATGGGACATGGCTAACTAACATATTGTACTGTTTGCCTGGAAGAGGTGGCAATAATTGTTTTGCCATTTTTACGTTAAAACGTACAGTTCTTGAAAACCATCCCGGATTATGGTGCGATGGCAATACAAAAGATAAGTTGTTACGTAATCCGTGACGTATAAGTATTGACGACACCGTAGTACTGGCAGTTTTGTAAGTCTTCAAGAACACCACATTCGTCAATGGATGATCACATGTAGGTGATTGCAGGAAACTTACCGACGCCCTCATAGTTGGGATAATTAATGATGCCCTGTGTGAAAATGACAGATATGTTAATTGCATTTTCCTTTCTCCAAATATATATATACATCCAATGATAAGCACTATTTTGGTCAGCGTGGGACTTTCGTCATTGTTGTTGGCAGATTGTCCAAGTTGTACAAAAGGAGAATATAGACACCTCTCCCTTACGGTTGCATATATTGGCATTCTGGTCGAATACATCATTGATGGGTCACGTATTGACTGCAAAGCCATGTAAGTACTTTGGTCTGCATACATTTTTTTTTACAAATGCTAATCAAAATTTATAGGTATGTCTAATTCTAAAAAAAACATTTAGATTTTATTATAAATAGAATATCCAGTTGGCAAAATTGGCAACCAGGATTGTTATGATGACAAAATTCGCATATTTGCATGTATTTTAAATAATTAATAAATCACACAGTCACGTATATTAGAACATCTTTAGATGCTTCCCTATCATCTACATTTTACTGGACTCAAAACATTGGTCACCTTTTAAATAATCACTGAATTAATCTACTATTCATCTATCAATATGCAAATCAGAGTACATCTGACATCAAAATGATCATTCAGTGAGTACTTCTCAGCGGCTAATCGTCAGTTTCTTTATTTTGTTAGAGATTGTAAATATATGAACATAACAGTCTCAGGGATTTTTGATAAATTCACGCACGCCGAAGATTTGGCTACATAAATGCAAATAACAAACAACATATATTGGTGAAAACACAAAAATAGATGAAAAATAAAAAAAATGACAACATCGCTGTGCCTATTATGCTTCTTATATTTGTTAGTACATTTTTTTATAGTATCCAATTTCTCCATGTTAGCAGTCGCATGATCACGTAACATTTGTCATTAACGTAATTGGCATTGATTATTAATTAGTGTCAATTATGAGCTTTCATAAAATATATAGTTTGATATGTTGTTTTAAGAAACTAATTAGTTTGAATTTTACTTCCTCTGCGGATTTCTACAAATGGTGCGATTAACAAAATAAAAAATGAGTGATGGGTTCACAGGAGGGGAAATCCTGTACCCGAAATCAATTCACGTATGAAATGTTTCTTCCGTAACAGCATATGGCGATGAAATTCCCTAAAAACCCGAGTCAACAAAGACTACACAAGAGGTCTTTGATGAGGCAAGACGAATAGGGGGAAAAGAAAGAAGAATCACCAGAGTGTAGCCAGACGTGGGCGAGGGGGAGATAGACCTGGTACCATAGTAGGCAGATCTAGATGTAGAACGAGTAGTCTGTGGTGTGGTCTTTGGCTTAATTAGGGGTTAATTTGGGTCGCTAATTAGACGAGATAAGATTTATAATCATCATACAGCTATACGCACCCTAAAGTACCGAGTTGTCATATTATATGCATTATAGATAACATGCAGCCAATTCATTTCGTACTCATACAGCCATATATTGTATTTTATTAGTACCTCACACCACAGTACTACACTTCAGTAACGTCAAGTGGCTGTCGTAGTTGAAAAGTAGTTCATCATTTGGTGAAGTTATAAATTTTAGTCGTGTATTTTGAGTACCGTAGACCAACCACAAGCATTTATTGCGTCGCTGCAAAGGTGAATTGATTCTGTTTTTTTTTTTATGGAGACCCTGGTAGTTTGTGGTTAACACATAGCTTCGATAGACTTTGATTTGTATTAGCCTGACAGCTGATATGTATCTACAGATTACACTACCTGTTTAATCGTAATCGTTATACTAACAAGATATTTCTTACCCCAACTATACAAATTGACAAGAAATTTCCTATTTCAAAAATTACCAACATTTGACAGGATCTTTTCTGTTCCAAATAAACGTTGCTGATGCGTTGTCATGTATATAATTTGACTTGAGTAAAGAATAAGTTTGCTAAGTGATTTTACCCGTATGTCTGGAACGATGTCATCGTTATATAATACGCTATCTCGATGGTAGATAGTAGAATACAGACACCGAATGCTAGGAATATAGTTTTCCGTGACCTCGTCATTGTTGGGTATGCCTTAGAGACGTGGCGGTCACATTTGATGGTGTAATTATTAACCTAAAAGCGCAAAGGACTCTGGGTAATTAATAATTACTACTTACACACAGCACGTTAATGAGCAACACAGGGTGTATTGTTTCCTGCAAATACAGATGTCGTTAGTTACGGCCTCTCCCTCAACGGTTATAACTGCAAATATGTGCACACATGTACTGTGATATGTTTGTTACTCGCTAATGGATTTAGCAATTCGTTTCACCTTCGCAAACAATGATGACCATCCCATGGGAAAAACTATTTTCACCAGTTTGATGTTCAGGTACTGTGATATGTTGAGATATCTACCATTAAATAATACATTTCAGCTGGTAAGACAAATCACTAGCTATTGTTCATCTGATATTTCATTTCCACTAGGATGGCAGTGTATGGCAGAAATATGCTCGCTGTGTATCAATAAAGAAAATTATTGTACAGAGGGAATTGATAGTGCCATATTTTGTGTATTTACAGAGTCAGGGTAGTCACACTATAGCCTGTCTGATACGTATCATAGGACATATACAACGTAACATTTATTGTGTGTTTACATGAGTTAGTTGTATTTCCGTCATAAGCGGTCGCAGGTCCCGTTCCGAACCTCTTTAATAAATTGAAAACGTGGATGATTAATTCGGGTTTCATTCATCCATCCGTGCAGCGTGCGTGCAAGCGTCCGTGAATCTATCCATCAATCCGCAGTTATTGCTATTTTCTAAGTTTCACTTAAACGTACGTGTAATCAGTGTTCAGGGCTATGTTTATGTGACTGGGTTTCCGATATGTTCATAGTCCATGACGTAATACACCTACTACATCAAATGTTCTCTTCAGAGTTGCTGGAAACATACTTCATGACACAAGAGAGTGTAGTAACACAGACGTATCTGATTGGCGAGGTTGTAGGATGTCGGTGGTGTGAGAATATTGTGTGGATAATATCTAATGTCGGCAGAATATGACCATCTGAATGTTTAAATAAGATGGTTAGTGCTCCCTATTTTTGTATACGTGCAAAAATCATGAATAATTTCGAATAACGCAAACGTTTTCTATAATGATGAAAATAACAGTTTGCTGAATGAAACCACGATTCGGCTGTTAGTGAAATATCAAAATTGTCGAGAAAGTTCTAAAAACAGTTTGGATATATGAACAGTTGTTCGAAATATCGCTGTTGAATTTTTTGTACATAAAAAACCTGTTTTTTTGAAATACTGCAAATTTGGAGTGAGAGACCAAAAAAGGTTATTTTGGGTTTATAAAAAGGAATCTGGAATGTAACAGTAGTTGCCTGGATAGTGGGAAAAATTGGTTAGATAGCTAGGAAAGTAGTTCGAGGAACGAAAAGTTACTTTGGAAGCCAGAAAAGTATTGTATTGCTGTCTTATGAATAATTTTGAATGAATGCATGTTTAAAAAAAATAAACACACTCTGCATTCAGTGACTGTTCAATTAATTGTGTAATTGTGGCGTTTACTTGGATTACTTACATCTGGGATGACTGAAAAGTCAGAAGCATAGTTCATGAAGTGTTAATTACTTCGGTACTGTGCCTGAAATATGGCGATAGGTCTCTGAAAAGTTGTTGAAACATTCAGAAGTAATTTGTGGAGTTCTTAAAAGTTACTATACAAAAAATGTTATGAAAGTCATCTGACAAGCAGCCTCGTGGCTGAGATAGCTACTCTGTTAACAATGCACATTTCAATTGAAGAAAAGGAACAAATTTTAACAAAATGACAAAATTATTTCTCAAAATTAGAGAATTAAAGATATCATCACGAAATGAACATATCTAAGATAGGTCTGTCCAAGATACATATACACAAAGTATCAAATCAATAAGAAGTGTAGTGTTCAAGGAGAAGTTGACATGAATGACGGATGACACCAGATGACGACGGACAACCACTCGTATGATAAACTCTGCTCAAGTCGACAGCGGAGCAAGAAAATCAAAAATGTGGTTTAAAAAAACAAAGTTTGCTGAGGAATCAGAGGTACATGTAGAAGAATTAGAGAATAATTAAAACTAGTAGTGTAAACAAGGATCCTAATATATTCCTGCAATTCAATTCACAGTATACTAACAAAAACAGGAGGAACAGTGAATGCGATATAGTTGATAATAGCATGATAATAAGATCAAATGACCAAAAATAGCCATCTGATGTCAAACCTCTTGTTTGATATCTTCATTATAGAATTAGGCAGAGGGTTTTCAACCTGCTTATTTACCTGGTTCGTAGGAGTTCACTACGTTCACTCCGTTCAATTACCCAGCATAGACTCAGACTGCTGTAAGTAAAAATGTGGGACAAATTTTACCTACGTCTACCACCTAGCTAAGACGAGTGAAAAACGTTGCCAGTGTCATCCCCATATATAGTAAAAGCATACTGCTGAAAAGGTGAAGGGGTCGGAATTGCCAAGGACGCTAGACCCAACCCCACTTATGGGGTAACTAGTATTCCAAAAAGAAGAGGTCGAAACAGTTCTGCATGAGGGCATAAGCCAAAAGCGAGACCTGGGAATGTCTAAGGTGCGCTGATGAGAGAAACTTCTCCGCACAAATCTGTAGACGAGACTGCTCTATCACCTATGTGCAGGCATCCGGTGGTCGTCCGGGCTGGGTCAACAGTCAAAGTCTGAAACGTGACAACAGGACCCACCCTAAAAAAAAATTCTCAGATTTTTGGGGGATTTGCTGGGGATTCAATGGA